GTTGGTTTAGGTTTGGGTTTTTTTTCCATTTGTTACCAAGCATCTTCTTCACAGATTCAGGTGACAGTTAAGAGAGCAGAAAACCTTGAAGGCACTGAAGATCTTTCAAGCATTCACAGTTTTTGGAGGTTGAGAAAAAGCCTTCATACCATGCAAAAGAGTTTATACAGATAGTATGTTGGAAAATCAACAATTGCATCATGAACCATGTGAAAACAAGAGCTTTAAAAAAAAAAAACCCAAACACCAAAAAAACCCCAACCCACAACTTCAGCACTTGATTTTTGCCTTCCTCCTTGCTTTTAAGAACAAGTATTTTCACTAACCAGGTAGTCAGAAATTTCCCATTCCAAAGAGGGATAAGTCATAAAACAATTTGATTTTGTAAAACAATTTCCCTTACAGCCAGCTCATATTGCTGAACGATACCAAACTAGAAGCACTGTGTCAGTGTGTACTACTCAACAAGAACTAAGGAAAGGCAAATGAAAGCTGAGGAGGAAAAGAAAATCCAAGTGAAAAAAAAAGGATTCCAACTCTGGCAGATCAAATGCAAGAACACATTTTTAAAAAGCAAATCACAAGAAGCAAATCAGAACTAATACCAAATCCTTCTCCAAACAGGTCAGAAACAAGTTCTACCAGAGAGCCTGTGAGGCCCTGCAAAGATGAGAAAAACATTGCAGAGACCTTGTCCTCCAGGGGCAGTTAAACAAAATCTTTGCATCAGTGTTCACAGTGGATTGGGGCAGAGAGGAGTATTTCTGCATGTTTGCATATGCACATATACATGCATATAACACTGAAGCATCTGAATCTGATAGTATAAGTAGAGGTTATAGAAGAATTTGACAAGGATAAGCAGCAAGTCACTGGGATGAGGCAGTAGAGTGTTCAGGCATTCTAAAGAAACTCAGGGTCAGGTACCTGAATTACACCTAGAATTGTATCATGTCTTCCATGAAGCTCCTTCATTTCGTGAGTACTGTAGAGTCAAGAGTGACACCAACTTTTAAATAACATACCCAGTAGAATTTTGCAGAGCTACAGGCATGCATGTCTGTACCATTCAAATAATAAAAGTTGTGATTAAAAAAATTATGCTTATCAGGTGTCCAGTAATTCTGTTTGGAAGCAGTACATGGTTTATATAAAAGGAAGTCCTGACTTACAGGACTAGGTGTTCTTTGGGAGAAAAGAAAAAATTAATTCTACAACTAACCTGAGATTCATGGTTTTCAATCTCTGATATAGAAAAGGGTCTCACTCTCAAGAAGACTTTCAAAGGTTGATATGCCTATTCATTAAAAAAAACCCAAAACAAACAGTTATAAGGGCCACTTCTGAAACAGAACACCCCAAAATCATATCAGCACACATCTCTGATGCAGTATTTCCTGTTTTATCTTACTGCTTCACTTTCTCCTTCCTTGTGAAGTTCATACCCTAAGGTTTGATTTGCTTCTATACCTCCTAATGTCCTTAAGTAACCCCTTTCCATGTGTGTATGTGTGTGTCTCCCCATTAGTGTTCTTTTATGACAAAGCCAATATTTTGATTTCAAAAGAGCACACCATCAGAGGCATAAACTGCACTGCTTCCACCTTCTGGTCTCCCTCTGTATTGAATTCAAGCTGTATTTTCAAACAGCTCCTCCGCACTACTGCACTTCCATTTTGTATGGAGCATGTTCAGTTAACAGATTGACACATTCAGCCTCAGGAGACTGCTTTGTTAGCAGGCACAAGCCCCTCACCTTCCTCACAGTAACAACCATGAAATAGTTCCCAGTTTCTAAGATAGGCTTTTCCATCCTGTATCATTATACAAAGCTTGCCACCCACCCAGGTGAAACAATAATAGATGGGAGATTTTTAGAAGGATCCCAGCATTCCTTTTCTCACAGAGCTTCAAACCCGCTGCTGCGGCAACTAGTTCATTCAGGAGATGGATTTACCTGAGCTCTCCACAGCCCTCCCATGATCAGCCCTCTACTAATCATACAAAATTACATCACATTCGAAGTCCAATTACTGAAGTCCTTCCTTCTCAAAAGCTTAGCACAACACATCATGTAGCATTGACCATCTGCATTTGCTACTGGCAATGAGCTATTTGTAAAGAACGAGAAGTAAACAGAAGAATCAAACTCATCTTGGGTGCAGCAGAATACAGCAGTTCTTGCCAAAGAAAAATTTGCCAGATTTAAAGCTTAGAAAAACAACCCCAAAACTCAAAAAAAACCCCAAAAAAACAAAAAAGGCACAATCAGAAGACATGTTACAAAACCAATCCACACCTCCTGTTCCTCTGCACTAGGCAACATTGTTGACTCCATAGGTGAGGGTTCACCTGCTAGATTCAGAAAAGAAACTGATTCCAATGCATCAGATACTTCTGCGGAAACATTGTTTTTCCCCTCATTATCCATTGTTCTGCCTAAATGAACTTGGAAGGGGAAAAAAAAATCCATATTTTCTCACAGAACAGGAAAAACCACGTAAGGAGAAAAATAGAAATCGGGGTAGCTCATATATAATAAACAAAGACTTCTGAAGAGGCTTGGAAGGATGCGAAAGCTGGCAGTTGGGTTATACTAAGAAACACACACGCAAATGAAGGCACACTAACGGCCTGCTGGGCATTCCTCTGACCCACCGGGACCACAGCCTGTAACCCCCACCCCTGAAAGGCTCAGCGCTCCCCAGGCGCCGGGGACTTCCCGCGCTCAGCCCCGAGCCCACCGCGCCCCGCCTCGATGAACCGGCGGCTCGGGGCGCCGTTGCACAG